GAGCTTTCACACTGCACGCGCATGCGGTCCGTCGATCCGTTCCAGTTGCGGTGCGTATACAGCAGTGCAGAGATCGTTTACGCACCGAGTCTATTTCTGCTGTGCTGCAAACGCTGAATTAAAGTGACAGCGCACGGTTCGTGGTCAAAATGAACAAAGACTGACCTGAATACCGGTATGTAGTAATTTCACCATAAATGCATTTAATTCAATAAAATGTAGTAATCTCACCATAAATGTATTTAATTAAATAAAATGTAACCATAAATGCATTTAATTAAATACTACTTAGTTCACAGTCATCTTTTTACTTTAAGACCGGGGTAAAGCAAAGAAAGCTACAATTTACTTCAACAAGGCCACATAATGAACGACACTCGTCTCATTCGTTGAGGTGGAAAAACAAGTTAATTGTGACATGCAAGATTTATTGTATACAGATTTAAATTATGCAAAAGAAACGGTATGAGTCTGCTGTTTTTGTCAATTTTAGGTTTTAATTTAAAATGTTAAATGTTTTAATGTTTAATGTTTAAATACAAATAGTGAGTAAATGTGTTTGTGGTACAGCCGCGGATCAGTTGCGCACTGCAAACGCACGCAGCATATGTGAAAGCACTATAGCGCGTGCTGCTCCTGTACCGCATACGCACCGCAACACGCACCGCATACGCACTGCACACGGAGTATGTGTGAAACGGGCGTCAGCCGTTACTTATTCACGATACAGCACAGCCTCTCGTACCTTATTGCTTACATATGGAGGATATAATCATGAATGTATCTTTAGTATTAAATTTGGACATTGGGAAAGATGTTTTTCTTTTTCATTCAATAAACTAAAAAATACACAAATTTATAGATTATCAAAATAGTATTCTAATAATTAGAGCAACAGTCTTTCAAATTTTCATGTTTTTTTATATATATATATATATATATATATATATATATATATATATATATATATATATATATATATATATATATATATATATATATCTGTGTGCCTTATTAACATGTAGTACCATAATGACATGGTGAATTATGTATGTAGTCAGATACCCTTATCTTGAAATCTATTCACTGGTAGTTAGAATGGCAAACTTGGATCACCCAATAGAGGTTAACTGCAGGTGTAAACACATCTATCAGACCAGTTAAACTGGTTAAACCAGTTATGAGTACCTGAAGTCTCTGCAGGAAAAGCTGCTGCAAAAGGTCATCCCACAAGGCCAGAGGTCGTTCGAGGAGGGACTGACACACAATACTCCAGTGTTGACTGATGGACTCGCTGCTGAGCAGTTCCCACACGGCATCTCGAATCGCAGCCAGACCCTTTAGACTCTTCACGTAGACCAGAAGGCTGCTGACTCCGCTGCGGATATCCTCCTTACAGCTATTACAAGAAAATTGAGCGTATAAAACAAATCATTTGAGAACCGTAAATGAACATTTGTAGGAGGGACATACGTATCGATCCACTGCTGCAGCGTGTCTCTGAGCTGCTCCCTCTGTATGGGCTGCGCTAGTGTCCGCAGGACAGGCTGGAAGTTCATCACTGAAGGGGGAAGGTATTTAAACCAGCTTCCTGTGCTCATCTCCTTGTCCAGAACCTTCTTATCTTTCCCTGGATTTCACAGAATATCACAAAGGGTCTTTTAGGCACGTTATTAGACTAAGACAGATAATGTAAAAGAACCAAGTGTCATGCTGGTTCACACAGTGTCCCTTAGGGTCATAAATTAACTTTTCCATTAAAGAGGCCCCTTGTAATTGATTTCCAAGGACATTTGTTACCTTTATTAAGGTATTTTTGATTAACTTCTTAAATGTATCCGTGTTGACTTTTATGTCAGATACTTAGGGCTTGTTTCACAGACAGGGCTTAGATTAAACCAGGATTAGACCTTAGTTCAAGTAGGAGATTTAAGTAGCTTTTATAAAGTGCCTTAGAAAAAAACATTACTGCTGTGTATCTTGAGACAAAACAATGGCACTGACATATTTTAAGATATGCCAGTGCAAGTTGCTTTCAGTTAAAACAGCTCAAACATTCATTTTAGTCTGGGACTAATTTAAACCTTGTCTGTGAAACCGGGGGATAAAGTTAACCAATTACTTCAAACAGAATACTATAGATAGACTGTTACCATTTATGTTTATTTGTACAAACTGTGTAATGCTGCTCATAGATGGCATTCAAGTATTTACATAAATTGCCTAAAAGTATCATTTAGAAAATCAAGACTTTACATCGGTTATTTTGGTAGCATGAAAAAAAACGGTTATTTAAATTGGCAACAAATGAAATACAGAACGTGAGCAAAGAACATCCCCACTATGACTTCTAGTGTGAGTTCTGCACGATCACAAAAGCTCCCGTTATGATCACTGAAACATCTACACTGTGAAATCAATCTCTTAATTACATCGTATCTGCACTTTGTTATTTATGATGATAGCAGGATTTGCAAGAATTCAGAATTCAGTTAGTGAGCAAGCGCACTGAACAAAACTCCTTATCTGAGACCAATCTAAACACCTTTAATTGGCCACTGCATTCATTCATAAGCTCGAGCAGAACAGAAACGTGTGATTGGTTATAATGGTAAATGGAAAAAAATGTGTAAAAAGAAATCTGATGCAACGTGAGCAGATCTCATTTTAATGCCGCAATCAACACTTTTCATTAGTTTCACTTTAACCAAGACAGCTGTAATAGATTTAGCTTATTGTGCAGGGACATTTTTTACCCCCTTATCTTGAATTTGGGGGGTATTTTAGCTTCTTTTGCCCCATTAATTTCTGACATTGCTGACGTCTTAAACATCCCAACGTAATCGTAAAATCAAAAACTCACCAGAGGATGCGTTGGAGGTCACATTCTCCAAGGTAGTAAAAAGCAGGCCACAGCCCAAATCGGTATCAGACACTTGGCCCTCCGGAGGCACATAAAACACAGCGTACGCCTGATACAGAGTGGTGACCAGCAGCTCCACCAAAGAACAAACCTGTGCTTTAACACCAGCACCTAAGAGAGGGACAGCAGCATCACATCTGTATAAAGAACAACCATGTGCAAATGTAATGATATATTCTAATCAACCAAATAAAAGAGAACAAGCTTAACTATTCATAAGCCAAAAGGTTATTCATATTATCAAGGTTATTCACCATGCTGGGGCTGATTGAGCAGTTGCTGAATGGATGCTTTCCTAGCCAGTAGGAAATCAGCAAGAGCCTGTCGAGGGGAGCTGTCCTCCAGGAGCATGGTGGAGACCAGTGCTTCAGCGATCGCTTGATCAGACACCGCCCTGCCCCGCAGCACAGACTTACTGTCCAATAAGATTGTAGACCTACAAATAAAAGGCAGCTAGCTTTAGGTAAGCGCAATAAACTAAACCAAAAGATGCATCTAAAAAGCATTTTGACAGCCTATAATGTAGTACAGTATACCTGAAATGACCTGCAGCTGCAACCTGACGCACCAGGATGGGGAAGCGAGAGAGGACGGGGCTGTATTGATGCCCTCCGCCCTCCAAGTGTAGCTGGCTGTGAAGGTGACAGCACAGCAGGTAGAGCTGTGTGGCCTGCAGGTACTGCGAGGACTCCATTGCGCTCCAGACCCGCTCAGGGATTTCCAGAAGGAGCTTTATCTGTGACGCCATCGTATAGAATTTTTCCTGGGACTGTTTCTGACCCTGCCAGAAATAAAAATACATCTAATGAGCATTTAACAAGCGAGCTCTCACTTTGGGATTTATTGTGTATTGATAGAAACTGGGGTTATGTCTTTTTTTTTCGATGAAAGAATGAAAACTATTGAATTGCCACAACTGTCAAAAATAAAATCTTACAGTGTTAACTTAATATCCATATATATCACTTGGATATTGTGTCAACACTGTAAGATTTTATTTTTGACAGTTGTGGCAATTACTTAGAGTTTTCATTGTTTCACCTTAGAGCTATATTTGCCAACATTCATAACAAATATGTGACAGATTGAATTTGTATCTAACGGTGACCCATATCGATTGAATAAAAAAGGAAAGCAGCACCCAAACACAGGGGAATATCTCTGACGAAGCTGAATAAATTAAGTCAGAATAAATAATACAAAAACTTGCTGTTTGTTTTGTCCCCGTAATCCAGAATGAGAGCTTTACCTCTGCTTTGCCGCTGGACTGAGGGGCGTGTTTCGCCTGCTTCAGTTTGTGACAGTACCGGTACATGTCCTGGATGGACTGAACGACACTTTCCGAGCACTGTCTCATCTCACCGATAGTGTCAGCAGCATCGATCAAATCCCGGTAACGTTCACCGACCATCTGTCGAAGTTCCTCCTTTTTATGCTCTATCTCTCCGCGCACTTTCCTCTCGATCGCACGGATCTCATCCGTACCGTACCGTTCAAATAAAACGGTGGGGTCTTTAATTTCTGAAACCCGAAGAGACTGGGCTGGTACCGAAGCCATCTCTTTAAAAACTGAGCAGATAACTGCAGAAATAAAACCCGGAAACACGAACAGCTCTCCTTCCACGTAAACAAAGGGTCAGAGGTCATTATGAAGTGAGACAGCGACCCCCTTAGTGGATGTTTGGTACTACAACATACATGGTATGTTGTTTTCGACACAAACACACACACACACACACACACACACACACACACACACACACACACACACACACACACACACACACACACACACACACACAGACATAAAATATATAATTAAATAAATAGAAATAGAATAAATACATAAATAGAAAAATCACCCTTCAGGTAGAATATATATATATAACAATCCCAGGGGAATGCACGACAGAAGATTTCATTACTACGTGTTACAAAAAACAACAACAACAAAAACACAATGTGCGTTTTAAGGGCTTTTGAGTTGCTGGAGGTAGAGTGGTGTATTATTGGTGTATTATTTTGTCAACGTTAAAGGCCACTGATTTGGCGCTAGATCCCTGTAGTTTTGTACAAGCATCGCACTTCCGCAAAATCATTTCAGATGCTGAACAGCCTTTATGAGCAGCACAGTGACAGAGAGACAGGTGTGGCGCCGTAACCCGGAAACACGACAGAGCAAAACAACAGGTGAGTGAGTGATCGAGAATCGTTCTATTAAGACGATTTATGAAAATGGAAATAAGCTAATTAGGACGATTATAAGTTATTTTAGATTATATACGATTAATCTACCTGAGGTTGAAGTGCGATCTTTGATTTTCATAATATTGGTAATTGTAATATTAATTGTCTAACGTTACTTTAAAAGCGAACGATAAAACATTTAAGGATTAACGTTAATAAAAGTGTTAAGCGAATGAATTTGAGTTCAATCAGTCGCTTTTAACTGAGTAAACGTCTGAATGAGTTAAACAATGGCGTGACTAAAGCATGTCATTTTCTCTTTTAGTTTGTAATGTCTTAATCACAATACAGTCTTCTAAATTTTAGAATATAGTTTATATTCTCGTTCTGGTTAATCTAATTTCTTTTGTACGAAAGACTATAGAAACCAACTTACTGTTTATTCAGGATGTCATTTGAGTAGCCTACATTTGTGTATTGAACAGGTTGGTTTAGTTTATGGGCATCAGGGTTTTATTTTCTTAGTTTCTGTTTTCAAAATATATGGCAACAGCATGTAATTAATATAATTCCCTCCATTTAGGAATCTTCGTACTGAAGTCATGGACAAGAACATTCAACAGGATTTTGAGAACCAGTTCAATGATGTGGTCTCAAGACTACAATCAAAGAAGATGTTTCAGTCAGATTGGGACATTGTGTCCTTTGCAGTTTTCTTCATCTTTATAGGCAGGTTAAATTAAGTAAAAAAAAAAAGTGAATATCTTAATCATAATACATAATTAAGAATCATTAACACAATGTTAAATGTTCATAGGCATGGTCCTCTTGCTGGTTCTTTTGGTTCTCATCCGCTGCTGCTGTTGCTGCTGCTGCGATGAGAAGGTAAGATTGCTACTGGTGTAATCTCACAGATAACATATCTATAGATTCATGAAACAATACATGTCATGGCAATTGTGGTAACAGGCTAACAGCTACTGTTTCCACATTAAAGCCAAGAAGACAGAAGGTGGGCATCGACAATATGGCAATGGAGCCATGATTTTCCAGAAATGATGGGAACCACTACATTCAAATCACTCACAAAATAACAATTGTGTGAATAGCTTTTTATATCACTTATTCCACCTAATTATTATTTATACTTGGGGAAAAGGTAAATTTATAGAGGAAGAAAATATTTTAGGTAGATGCGTCCTTATAGGGGTGATAAAAGCCCAAACCTTTCCCAACTGTGTAAAAATGCTATTAATATGTAACCAGGACATCACATGACTGAAGTTGCGTTTGTCCATTACAGATTCCTGATCCACTTTCTAGCTAAACACATTATTGAAGCACTTTATTGCAACATTCCTGGATGAAAAGAATGCAGGCCCTTAACAAACAGCCTAAATTGACATTTTCTTGTTTATAAAGATCTTTTAATCTGAAACCTGGCTGTTACTGGTTATCCCAGATATCCCAGCCACTCAGCCAACACCTTGAGTTAAGTTTAGTGAATTTGTTAAGTCTTGACTTTTAAATCTGAAATGTAATCATCTTGACTTTTAAATCTGAAATGTAATCATTACAGAACTTACACACTTTCTGAAAATATATAAAAATTAAAATGGTTTACCTTACTGCTTAAAGCTTTTAGAAGAGGCATACAGATTAAGAAATGTTTTATTTATGGAAACTAACCAGGAAAAATGAGTATGAATGTTTTGTGTATTTTTTTATTTTATTTTATTTTTTTACAATGTACCACCTTATTATAAAATTTAGACATTGTAAACCAAAAATAAATTATTTAAAAGATTCATTTCAGTCAAATTCAATGGCATTGAGCAAATAAAATGTTAATTTGCCTGTATACTAAGTACTTTTAGACAATAGCATTGGTCAGTTAATTCAATCTAAAACATTTGAGAACTAGGACAAGAGCATGGTAGTGTTCATAAAGTATGTTTATTGCACAGAACATTCCATATTAAGCGTGAAATATACATTAAAATAGCTAAGGTTTTACTTTGTCATGCATGAAATCAATTAGGACTCAAATTAAGTGCATTTAACATGAAATAAATAAAAATGTGGCAATAAATAAACAAGGCTTACAGTAGAGTAAATTAACTACCAACACAGATAAACCCTTTCTGTAACAATCACAAACCCTGAACATTATCAGATAAATATCTTAATCATAGAATGATGGTTATTAGATATCCTCAGGAATGTGTAAAGTTTTAATGGAATATGAAGCCCTGACATCTTTCAACGTTATCTGTCATTTAGTGTTAATATAATCATTCTACAGTTGAGTCACAGTGGCAAATATACTGTTGGTCATTTATGCACATTTAGAAGCATATGATAATGGTCTCAATGCTATTTACTTTGCTGCATTGATGATAGTCCCTGGTATTAGATGAATAATGTTCAAGTGTTAAACTTACAAGCCCCTGGATTAAAAGTAATAAACACTGGTAAAATGAGTTTGAAGGGATCTCTCAACAAATGAACTGGAAAATTTTCACTGGCTTTGTGACAAATAAGAACAAAAGCATTGTGTATTATCTAAACCTAAACACATTATATGAGGTAAGCTTCAATATAGGCAAGATTACTGACAAATAGTCAACACTGACAATGACAAATACTGCATTAACACAAAAAACACATCACTGAATACCTTCATCTGAAGAGCCTGTTTCAAATGAATGCATCCAGTCCATAAACTACGCAAACTATCTCTGCTGCAGTACACATACTGAACAAGAAGCACACAAAATGAATACATCGGTCATATAGTAAATTCACAATAGATCATGGAACTTGTTCACAGAATTTTTTTTGTTCCTAGTGCATCCTAAAGCATAATAATTACATCATTTTCATTATCATTCACTCTAGAGTTTTGGTCAGATACTGTATAGCTTAAAACAGTCTGTAGTTCCAGAAACTAGAGAAGACAGAAATCTGCAAATAAAAGGAAAGAAATGAACATTAGATAATCTAAAGTATTGATTACAGCATTCCATTCAGATCTGCTGTCATTGTGTCAAAATGTTTGCTTTGCTTTTTGCTACGGTTGAGCATTATAATCAATCTATCAACTTCAATGGTGAATCACAGGCCAATCATTAACAACCAGTGAGTTTTAACTGGACAGAGCCACATTTTACTCTACTGTTCAAAGTTTGGGGTCAGCAAGATTTTTTTTAAAGCAATTAACACTGTTGTTCAGCAAAGATATATTAAATTGATCAAATAGTTCAGTAAAAGACTTATGTTACAAAAGATTTCCTGCTGACAATTCAGCTGCACCATCACAGGAATAAAATTACATTATATATATATATTTTTTTATATATACACACACACAAACACGCATACAGTTGTAATCAAAATTATTAAACCCCCCTATATAGGATCCCTCACAACAGCACAAATCTGACCAGGTGTTGTGTTTCTAATTAAGGGCTTCATTAGTTGCACCAGGTTCAGTGCAAACAGCTGAAAGTCTGTACATTTTGCCAATAAACCTAAAGTGCTGTATTTTAAATACACATTTTAAATTGTAATATTATTTCACAATATTACTGTTTTTACTATATTTTTCTGACCCCAAACTTTCAAATGGTTTTGAATGTTTAACTTTTATGTTCACTGGTTTACTAAAATGAAGAAATGAGGAAATACCACCAGACACATTTCACTCAAAAACATGCTTGAAAATCATTGTTGGTCATTTTTAACTATCCCAGTAATTCTATTAAAACTCTTAATCTTTAACAGTAACAGTAATAATAGCAAATGATAATATATCTATTAATATGATTATTTACTATTATTACCATTACTGTTAATCTTGATATTTACAGTTACAAGGATTCAAGAATCGTTAAAAATGTGATTACAATATCAGGGTAATTATCAACGATTATTCTTTTTGCCATAATCGTTCAGCCCCAATTCTAAACTGCCGAGTGTCTCTGATAGCTATCTGATGTCATTCTGTTACCATGCCATAAGTTATGACAGTGACAGTGCAGGTGAGATTATATTTGTTCCCGTATCAACAGGCCACACCCACCTTATCTTTGAGCTGCTGACAGAGCTGCAGGGAAATGGTGAAAAACACCAGTGTGTCATTCAGCCACGGCACTACACACTCCACCTTATGGATGTGGCTCACCTCGAACTTGGTGTTGTTGTATTCGCTTGAGGAGAAAATAAAATAAAATAAAATGACGTAAAACCTTCATCAAACAGACTGTTTAAAAAGAGCAGAATGAGACATTATGATACTGTATGAGACTGACTGCTGGTGTTGCAGCATGAAAACAGGAAGTGTGATAAGCACTTACAACATTGCTCCTGGATTATGCACTACTGAACTTCCTGCTGATTTGAAGTTCTAACAGAAAACAAAATGATTACGCATTTTAAAACAGACATTCATGTTAAGCATGACTGTAAAAGCCATGCAAACTAGTTGTTTTCATATTTAGTGCTTATTATGGCTTGATACCTTAGTACTGTTAGGCTGCAGCACATGTAGTTGATACACGGTCAGACACAGTTTACTGAGATTGATATAGAAGTTCACCATCACATCCCCAGGCATTGGAGGTGTGAACATTTTCTAGAAAGAACAGGAGAAATGTTCATAACAGCACATGGAGTATCCACATTTAAATTGTTGAAGATCCACATACGAACCATCAGGGCACTGGCCGCGAGCTCAGGAAGAGTCATGCTGGCCGGGGTCGTGAGTCTGTTACGGGCTCGGGTCAACTGAAGCATTATCGCATCCATGAGCTGAAACACAAATGATGCCAAGTGCAATCGTACTTCCCATACAATACCAGTGAAAATGTTAAGACTGTTTGTAAGGAAAGAATGTTCCTATTCCTGAATAACCTGTAGCGCACAACACCTTCAAACTTACTCATGAGAAAGTTCAATTATGCAGATAAGAACCACATTAAGGAGACCAGGGGCCGGATTCAAGAAATTAAATTCTTCGTAACTGCTATTTGTTATCTCAAAAACATTTTTAGGTAGCACCATATTTTTAGACAGGAATGAAAACTAGGCTGTGAGGGATTGAAGTACAGTGCGTCAGTGGTTCATACTGTTGTTTAACAATATACCGATTGTTCAGCTGACGAAACGTCTTTTCGAAAAAGATTCAGTAGACAAAAAAAAAAAAAAGTTTTGAAAGTAGTGAATTATGAAAATTATGTGATCTAGGATCTTTATTTAGTGCGTGCCATTGTAAAGACTGTAGATTTTTGTGAATCCGGTTCCTGGACAACAATATGCTCAATTTAGTGACAATATGCAAATTCAACAGCTAAATGTTTTTACTTATGAAAAACAAACCTTATTGACTTCAGCCCCAGTTTTAAAGTGATAACTCTCATCACGGCTGCTTAGTAACTGCAAGGCCTGATTCACATGGTTTCGGGCATCCTGGATCTGAGGAGAGGCAGAATGCGTTTTAACAGCTATTTTTATGAGAGAATAATATCAAACCAAGGGAGAAAGAAACATTACCTGCTGCAATTTCCACTGTTTATCATCTCGGAATGCAAAATGCATGACTTGACTGCTTTTAGCGACTTTGATATTAATATCCTGCAAAGTAAAAAAAAATTTGCCCATTTTATATAATATCAATAATAATTGAGGTGAGATAATGAACTAAACTGCATTGCAAGTGTCTGCAATTCCACTGGTTGACATCAAGTTGATGTTTTGATGAATTTAGACTCATACATTTTAAAAACTCCAATTAATATACCAGAATCAAAACAGAGCCATTTCGGCTGAAAGCTGATTTCATTTCCATGATGTTGTTAAACATACAGCCTGAGTCAGAGCTTCCCCTTGTACCGTCAAGACTCCTTTAACCTGGTCCATCCTAATGAAATAAAAATAATAAAAGTTTTTCTATACAGTGTTGTACACATCCCCATAAAACTGTAATCATACATTATTGTATTCTTTAAATCTAACATTAACCAAGCAGAGTGGACACATTTAATGGATCTTACGTTGAGCTGCCCAGAATAAAGTTCTCTTGTTTCAGTTGTCCTTCCAGACCTGGTGATGGCAATGAAAAACGCCTTGAAGCCTCCTTTGGGGGAAAATCACACACACACTTATTAATGCATTTTGTTTCACACAATAATACAGAATTAATTTGTCTTAAGGTATTTGGCTGAAGATACCTTCAAAATGTCCTGCAGCTGTTTCAGCACCGCATGCACCTCTTCTTTCAGCAGCCAAGTAAATTCCTCCTCCTAGAAACACAACTTGTCTTAAAGACATAGCTCACTAAAAATGAACATTCTGTCATATTTTACTCACCCTCATTATGTATGACTTTCTTTACTTTGTGGAACTCCAAAATAAAGATGTTAGGCAGAATGATGGAGACTAAAACCCTCAGTCATCCTTCACTTTCATTGCATCTTTTTTTCTATACAGTGAAAGTCAATGGTGACTCAGGCTCCTATTCTGCCTAACATTTGTTTTAAGCAAAACAACAACAGAAGGTTTGTAAACAATTTCTGAGCGAACTAGCCTATCGCTTTAATTCTGTTGCAAAATCGTTCGCAATGTTGCATTACTTGGAGATGACACAGTGGTCAGCAGCAGTACACCAACATCAATACATAAACTGAACAGAACAATGATAAGGCAGAACAAATCACTGTTACGATTGTTTAACTATTCACACTGGGATGAATTTAAACGTCCCTGCAGCTGTGCTGCAAAATTGCATCAACAAGCTCGGTCTGAATCGTAAAGCAATGCACATATGCAACTGCAACGCACCTGAAATCTACAACTGAATATATGACTGTTCATAATAAAACCATAACGACTTCGCTTGCTTGTAATGCATCTGGTCCATGTATTTAAACACAAATTAATCTCTCACCAGCACAGTCCTCTCTGCTTGACTCGCGGCGGTCATTTTCGCTAATTCAGACATAGAAGATAGCTCTGTTCCGAGCATTACAATTCAATAAAGCTGTCCAAAATCTGTTTAAAATGACCTGAGCAATCAGCTATTTAGTGTGACGGGCTAGACGATCACACATAAACAATTAGGCTTTTGACACCGCCTCCTTCTCCCAAACTTCCGGTTTGTGTAACCTTGAAATCTTCCGGCTTGGGGAGGATTGGTTGGAGCTGGAGCCATTTCTTTTACTGTCTAACGTTATATGGGTTGGTTGGAGCCTGGATGTTCCATTTATTCAAAATCTACTTGAATATTTATTTCTGTAAATTAAAAACAATAAATAATTACTATGTAATGGCATTGCAGTTTTTTCACTTAGTTTTACTGCATTTTTGTTTTGTTGATGATTCTAATAAATGGCGTGACACAAATTGTAACGTTAGTTCGTAACGTAATCCATTACACTACACATTTTAGTTAATATAATCTGACTACTTTTTAAAATTAATTTTAGATGACTTTTTACCTTATCACATTGAATTGAACAAGATAATCTTGTACCATGTTGATATTTTCAAATAGAAAGAAAATATACCATCTTTGTTCCCAACAATTTTACAATTGTTGCAATTTTACAAAACTATAAGACTTTCTGAATGTATATATTGTAAGCAATATTTAAATTTAAAACAAATGATTTACTGCCATTGTGTGAATAATCATGTAATCAATAAAAAGTAACTGTAATCTGATTAAAAGTATTTCAAATGTAACAATCGGAGTACTTATTTTTTGTAATCCAGACATGTAATCAATTACTGCATGCATGCATGTGTGTGTATATATATGGCATTTATTATTATTAAGAGTTATTCGTGAAGAAAAAACAACATATGGACATGAAAGTTGGACTTTCGGTTTGTTTATTCAGAGGGTTCAGTTGACCGCACAAACAAAAAAGAAAAGAAATTTCACATTTACATGAAATTATAAATAACTCCGATTATAACACCAATACCTTCCTTGCACAACTGGAATCAAGTTGTCAGTATGTCATTACCAACTGTGTTTAAGCCACAAAAATCAAAACATTTACAGTAAATAAACCCATTAGCTAAGACAAAAGAACACCCTACAATATTAAGACACAATGATTAATAAATTCAGTAGAGTCAAACTGAAAGCATGTTATTCCATGTATTCAAATAACCCAACCCTTTCATGGGGATATATACAACGTCTTAATCTTACAGAGTCCTTAGTAAATCACAAAATTATCATCTCATAATCAAAGTCTTTTTTTTTGGCAGAACAACAATTTGTAAAAAATTAAATCACCCTGTATTTGTTTTGAGTTTTAAACAAAATACCAAAATTACCAAATTATACGCCATTGAATTATGTCTTGTAATATCACTGAAAATAAACTAATGCAAACATAATTTAGGGGTAAAATGCAGCAATATTTGAAACTGTTTTACATTTTTTGAGTCATAGCGGAAATTAAAATTTACAAGAAAATCAAAAGGCAACATATCAATTTGCCAGATGACTGGCTTGGACAAAATATGAGAAGCCCAATTTAAAAAAAATGTTCAAATAAGATAAAATAAAAACTTTTTTTTACAGCCCAGTTGAAAGATCTGTGATACAAATCCGACGCTAAAGTAGTCAAGCTGGAAAACAAGTTGTTCCATTGCGGAAGTGATAGTTAAGACTCAATCTATTTTTAGGATTAACTTCACTGTAAATTAAAAATAATTTCAGGATCTTCTGAGTTACTGTTACACACCCAACTTAAAAAACAAAACAAAAAAACAAACAAAAACACTGCATTTCTGATAAGGCAATAAAACCAAAAATCATTAACTAGTGAACAGGGGACCTCCAAAAATGAGAAAAAAATAAAATAAAACGTACAGCCAAATTGCACCTGACATGATGGTGATCTTTAGAGATAAAATAAATAAATACATCTATCTTATATGGGCATTAAGGCAATGCAGTGGCTTTTTATCTTCGTCGTGCTCCTCAAAGTCTGTTTGAGATCAGAACTTTATACTTTACAGATTTCTGAACATCGAAAATTACAACGAGGGAATTAATTTGTAAAGATATGAATGATAAATAAAACCCTAGCCTCTTCAAACAACACTGCATTGTATGCAGTAGCCTTAACAAAATGCGGATATAACACTGCACAGTCTATCATAAAATAATCATTCGCAGGGAGTTTAATAACCTCCCATTGAGCGTACGTGCAGCAATATTACAGTCAGTGCAATGCTCAGATTAGGCTGCTAAAGAGATCCCATTATACATGGGAAAACATATCACTGGTGCCCAACAAAATTCATCAGCAGAGAAGAGAAAGACAGAGGGAGAGGAACAAAGTAGGTGGTGAGGTTTGTGGTCCAGGACATAGAGCACATCTACAGGATTAGTGAATATAAGCTCTGTAGACTGCAGACATGTCATTGTCCGACTGGTCCAATGCTTTTGCTCTCTTGTACACCTGCAGAAGTATGAAATAATGCATTACTTTAATGGAAGAATACGCAGAAATTGCATTTAGTCCTTGAGAAAACATTTACGGATTTAATGTCACTGATTATTTACAGATTAGCTGATAACGGTCATTTTATGGTCGATATTGATAAACAGTAAAAAAATAAAAAATCAATATTACTACTACAGACTAAATAATATAAAAATAAACCACTAAAAAAATATTCATTTGGAGATTATCTAATGATTACATTTAAGCGTGTTGTTAAATTATTGGTGCTTTTTAATATGAACTTTAGATTACAACAAAAGGTAATCGAATAGTAAAAATAGGTAAAATGAGCAGCACAATAAAATATCCAATAAATTAATTCACAGATGACACTCCAAAATAATCCATTCAGTTACCAAATGTTGTCTTACCTCATTTGCAGCAGCTGCCATTGGTGTTGGATGATTCACCGAATCTCCCATTGAAATGGCTAATCTCAGATCTTTCTGAATATGTTTCAGGTAGTAATCAGGTTTGAAGTTGCCCTGCAAGATATCTGCAAAGAAACAATCAAATGTTAAATTAATAAGGTCATTTTTAGTATTTTTTATTAGGGCTTTCACGATTCCTCAATTAAATTCAAGTACTCGATCTAAAAAAATCCTCGATTGGAATTTACCCGTGTCGAGTAACTGCCAAAATACCAGAAGTGGAGCGATTCCACAGACGAGAATACATGCACCGCATTATTAGACCATTTTCTAAGGCTGCACGATGTATAGAAACCATTTAAAAACCATACTAAAGCATAGTGCTATTGTGAATTCACAAAATCTGTGATTTAATTAAATAAATATGCCCTGCAGGTTTATTATTCATTTACATGGGTGTAGGTTACGTGCGTCTCAGAGCGGCTTCGTTTACAGTAAATGCTGCTCCACATCAACTGTTATCATTTACATGCGTGGAGCGCGTCTCAAACTCCATCTCTGCATATGGCTGTGAGTTTGGGTTATTTATAACATTCATCTGGGAATGGAATGTGTGCCATTTCATCATTTTGTAAGGTAAATCACTTATAAACTTACGCAAACACAGGAGAATACATCAAGTTTTCTAAAAATGCTAAATGTTCATTGCGATTTCAAAATAAAAGTTTAAACCTTTGCTCTTCGAGTTTGCATGTTTTGATGCCCACATATTCTTGTTCAAGAAATCACAGCGGCTGTGGTATTTCTATCGTAAAGAAGTGGCCAAATATTAAAGATTAAGTAAACATTTGAATTTGTTCTGCTGGGTAAAGTGCAACAACAATCACCCTGGTGCCCTCCGCAGGCACGTGTTATAATACATCATGTACATACGATGATTGTTAATATGTATGTATATTCTGTATTTTAACAGTGTTGCTCAATAAAACCATATGATTACTTGCTTTTGATACTTTATTTAAACCAATTATTATTGCCTCATTATATATGTAGTTTAAGTCTTTTTAAAGGCTTAGGTCTTTGCTTGGGTGTATTTTTATTACCTCAAATAAAAAAATGATAACGATTTAAGATTTTACTTTTGTCGGTTTTGCCTTCTTTTTTTCATTAGGATAGGACAGTAGCTAGACAGGAAGTGAGGTGGGAGAGAGGATCGGGAAAGGTTCACGAGCCGGGACTCGAACTCGGGTCGCCCGAAGCGCAACAGCGTTACATATGTCTATATAACATGATACATATGTCTATATAACAGCCTCATTTTAATAGTTCCAAAGGTTAAATTGTCAGTGTTGCATCTAGATTCTAATAGTCTTAAAAGTTTTGCAACATTCCTCAATTTTTTCGCAATGGATGTCGAAATAGCAGCGTTTTACAGACTAAAGGTTACCATCTCTGTGACGGTTCGTAACATAACCGTCGTCGGGGGAGGGGGCGGGGCGTTGTGACGTTCGTCTGTTATAGGACAACTTAGTTTGAATAAACGAGCAGACACTGATTAGCTACTTGCTCTACGTTTATTTAAAATTAATGTGAATGTGTTCACATTCATTAAAATGAATGTGTTTTCTGTTAAATTAATCACACACAGTAAACAAATCCTTAACAAAAAAAAAACAGGCCTATTCTGGTGGGTGCGGTGCGGTGATGCGGTGACGACTCATGTAACATGTAAGGCTGGCGCTGCCAATAAAGCACCTAAAAGCACTTGTCACAAAGAACCGGCAAAAGTAATGATTATGAATATGTAAAATATAGCAAGGAGATATTTTAATTGTTTATTAATAAACAAGTGTTTTCTTTGTCAGTGTCGGCCAAAGATGAAGTTGAAGATGCTGACTCGCGATCTTCGCAGTAGTGAACGCGCCAGAGAGAAATGCACATTTCATACGGATTGCATAAGCAGATAGCAGTCTGTAGTCTGTTTTCTTTCGTTTTGAATTGTTCTGTTTAAAAGTAGGCATGTCTGTGACTGTGAGGCAAGTAGGCTACCTTATACGCTGAGTTTCGGTTCATTTATGAGACGAGCTCCAGTTCAAGCGCTGGCGCCTCTGTTTCGTGATTATCTATCGTCTGCTATATTTACTTCTTATTTATTAAATCCAGGCAATTGGTTGATGAAACATTGATTAAAATTAAGATCCA